TAAATATATACATATAAACAAATAATCACAAACATAAATAATATAAGTATATAAAATTCATTTAAAAGTTTTGCTGTGATGGCCGAGTGGTTAAGGCGTTGGATTCGAAATCCAATGGGGTTTCCCCGCGCAGGTTCAAATCCTGCTCACAGCGACTTCATGTGAAAGGCCAAGAGTATAGAAGTGTTCATGAAATGCTTCTTTGTTCTGGGGGAAACGATCAAACAATGTCTCTGACAATAAAATAAAAAAGGTAGATTTTGTTGTACAGTGTGATTTCTATTGCAGGAAGATTTCCTTCTGTGATGGATGCTACAGCTACCTGCTGTTTCTGATAGCAAATAACCACATATTCTGAAGAAACTGTGAAAGGCTGGTGTAAATCTTTATAAAACAGCTTCCCAAACTATAGTGGAAATTGTTAAATTGGAGCTGATTTAATTTGGTCTTTAAATTTGAATTATTTATTCTTTTTGAAATCTACTGAACCATTTTGCAAAATTCACTAGGAATAAGAAAAGCATATAATCACTGACAGTGAGACCGTGTGTTTGTGGTGCTGGTGATATTTAGGTTTTTTTTAACCTATCTGTTCTTCAGGATGGAGCAACAGCTTTTCAACCCTCATCAGACCCATTAAACCCTGGGATTCTGCAGCATCGTCCCTTGAAGATGCTGAAAATTCAAGTATGTTTTTTCACCCTTCTTCTGGCACAAAGACAGAAGTTTGAAGTGCAAAGCAGTGAAAAAACAGTATTTCAAATAATGTCAACAAATCCGACTCATAAATAAGAAATGTCAGCGATGAAGGATGCGTTTCCTCCCACGGTGCAAACCTGAAGGAACACTTACAGTAAAAGTACGTAAATTTGTTCTGGTCCTTGAGGTCTTTTAGGAAACTAAAGAGCTCATTGATTTAAAATGTTTTGAGAGAAATCCTGCTTCAGCTAATTTTCTTTAGATTTCAGACATGTGAACAAATCCAAAGCACAATAAAAGTCTTTTGCACTGAGAAGTAAAAACCTTTAGCTACAATAAGAAAGCAGAACATTTAAAAAAAGTGTTTATTGTCAAAAGTAAACAATCAGAATTGAACATTTTAACTCATACCACTCACACTTTTTTACCTGATACAGCAGACAATTAAGTTCACCAGTGACGAGGAAATAATCTCTTAAAAACTACTTTCARCAAACCCTGGGAAAGATTATTTAGTTTTTATTTGATGTTGTAGAATTAGCTTTGATATGACAATTATATGGCCCAAATCTGTCAGTGCCACCATTGGCCCAGTTGTGGTTTGGTTTCTTAGGCCCAAATTGGTCAGTGCCACCACTGGCCCAATTGTGGTTTAGTTCATGTGGCCCAAATTGGTCAGTACCACCAGTGGCCCAGTTGTGGTTTGGTTTATGTGGTCCAAATCTGACTGAGCCACCACTGGCCAAGTTTTGGTTTAGTTTGTATGGCCCAAATCTGTCAATGCCACAAATGGCCTAGTTGTGGTTTGGTTTACCTGGCCCAAATCTGTCAATGCCACAACTGGCCTATTGTGGTTTGGTTTATATGGTCCAAATCGGTCAGTGCCACCATTGGTCCAGTTGTGGTTTACTTTACATGGCCTAAATTGGTCAATGCCACAACTGGACCAGTTGTGGCTTGGCTTATGTGGCCCAGTTCGGTCAGTGCCACTATTGATCCAGTTGTGGTGTGGTTATGTGGCCCAGTTCAGTCAGTGTCACCATTGGTCCAGTTGTGGTTTAGTTTCCACGGCCTAAATTGGTCAGTGCCACCACCATTGGCTTGCTTGTGGTTTGGTTTACATGGCCCAAATCTGTCAATGCCACAATTGGCCCAGTTGTGGTTTGATTTATATGGCCCAAATCTGTCAGTGCCACCATTGGTCCAATTGTGGTTAGGGTTGGGTATCGAAACTCGGTTCCAGTATGGCACCGGAGCGAACATAAACGGTACTACACAGACCGAAACACAACTCTAATTTCGGTGCTTTATTTCAGTGCCTTAAAGAAAGCTGTTAATTGCGCCCTCTGGTGTTCACTGTTAACAATGACAGCCTCGGCACACAATCTCCACAGAGTGCCAACAACAGGGGTGAGTTATGAACTTTTAATGTGTTTTAACTGTCTAATTTAGCTGTTTCTGCCCTCTGTGTCGGAATATGAGTGGTAGAGAAAACAGCTGTGTGTTTAAGTTTCAGTTCGAACGGGAGCGCAGCGAGCGCCATGTTTTTACTTTCAGTTTGAAACCGCACTGTAATTAGCSTGTCCACATTGTTTTTCTTTTAAAAAATGCTGGAACTGCTCACAGGAGGCATAGAAGAACACCTAAATTGTTCTCCCTGCTGGATTAAAATAAAAAGCTCCCTGTCTTTTCTCGCTGTTACATTAGAGCTGCTGCCGTGCAGCAGGCAGACGCTGCTCAGTGCTCAGATCACGTTAGCTCTGACCGCAGTATAATTTAGTCGTGATGCAGTTTTCCTTCAGTGTACATTTCAAACTGCTCTAAACATAACCACAGCTGGTTTAAATGCATTTTTTGCCCGGTGTAAAAAAAGCGGGTGCAGACTGAGGCAGACTATGAGCGCTGCGTGTGTGAAGTCCTCACAAAGATAGCAAGATGTATGTATGTGTCTCCTTTTTCTCTGAGTTGCTCTCCTGTTGCTGTTTTTGCATCAAAAAATGCTGGGATATTAAAACAGTCATTTTATTTTATGTAAAAATTATATTAATCTAATTAATATACAAATAAAAACAGAATATTTAGCACTAGATAAAAT